CATCTGCCGGCTCTCCAAGGTATTAGTGTGCATCCGTCCGGGCGCCTACCATCATGCGCAGAAATGCCGGATGGTTCCTTGAGGACCGGGATTGAAGCCTTGGAGAAGAGCCGACAAATGTATTCGTTTAGCGCTGAGTGTCGTAGTTTACGGCCCCCACCCAGGCGACAAACCAAACCGTGGTGCCCAAACTCGTCCGCCCTAGCGCCACATCGGCACGTGTATTTATTCTGAATGACCAGGCCAAGTCTGAAGCCAATGGCAAATCTCACAGACTCGTCGTCAAGCCTGGTGCCCACAGAGGTGTTAGGCCACGATCTCAACCACCCACAGCTGGCAACGCTGGACATGGCCAACAAACGAGCGGTGGAAAAGTCGTCGCCGCATGAAGACAACAAATTTTGAAAGATTTTTTTATATTCTTCGTTCAAAATTTGGACGTGCGTACGGTCCACCGGGGCGGACACTGGGGGAATAATATCGCGGCAACAAAAAAACCGGTGGAACAGGGAAGACTGCAGGTCGAGAGTGGCAGCGGCAGAAGAATTATAAACAACAGGAGCCAGCTGAACCACGCTAAGCAACCCCAGCCCACCAAATCGCACCGGCAGCTGAGCCTGGTGCGATTTGTATGTATGTACGTATGTATGTATGTATGTACGCATGTATGTATGTATGTTAAAACCAAAACATGATGAGTGACACTGAACCGTCAAACATCAAGTAACAAATGGATTAACACTTTGATTTGTCGTTAATTGCACATGTCGGCATTCAGTTGGATATTTTCAAGCACACAGACACGCAGGAACCGCTGCAACAAGCACGAAATGTGGTTAGTTGCGAAAAACAGTTCCCTGCTGTCGCCTGATCTGACGCTGATCATTTTGCATGTATGTATGTATGTACGTACGTACGTACGTACGTACGTATGTACGTATGTATGTATGTATGTATGTATGTATGTATGTATGTATGTATGTATGTATGTATGTATGTATGTATGTATGTATGTATGTATGTATGTATGTATGAATGTATGTATGTAAGTATGAATGAATGTATGAATGTATGTATATGTAAATGAAATTTTAAAAAATAAAACCGTTAAATCCCTTGGAGTGTATTTAGTTTAGAAACTAACTTCCAAAGCGCATTTCAGCACATTTCCAACAAATTGGCCCAACCAATAGGCATAATTAATAAAATTCTTCTTTCCAAAAAAATTTTGAATCTCCTTATAATGCTATTTGGACATCTTAAATAGATTATTGCAACGTTGTGTGGGCTGGCACGCATCATTCAATTACAAATTTAATAAAAATAAGAAATACGTAAGGGTTATAATAATTTGTAATAATTTAAATTGGGATCGGTAAATATTTTACTGCCATTTTTGTCTTTAACCAACTTTCCAAAAAGCTTCCTCCAACGTCTGACGAATATTTATGAAATAGTCAACAACCATAGAGATGTCAATTTTCTGATGACCAACAATTCGAGAAAAAATTCGTTGCATTTTCATATTGTCTGTAGAGGACAAAGGATTTGGAATGACATTTTAAAAAATGATTTCTCTTGCAATGAAACATCACTTGCCATGTTCAAAAAGATTTTAAAATTGTTTTTCTTAAACTTTAATGACAGAAGAAATCTGTAAAAAAAAGAGATACAGTTTCGTTTAATTCAAATTTCCACTACTAACTGTTTGGCATAAATTAATTTGTTCACATTTTCGTTCAGATGGCTGTGCTAGATGAGCTCTCTAGGAGCTTCATCACATTTTTTGTTGGAATAAATAAGAGATCGTACCGCATGTATGTATGTATATATGTATGTACTTGAATTTACATACATCATTCAACAAGGTATGCTTGCTTCATAAATACCTTTTCTATTTTATAAAAAATGTACTGCTACCACTACTACCACTACTGCTACCACTACTACCACTACTGCTACCACTACTACCACTACTACCACCACTACTACGGCTGCTGCTGCTAGTACTACTACTATCAATACTACTACTACTACTACTATTACTACTACTACTGCTATCACTACTGCTACTACTACTACTATCAATACTGCCTCCACTACTACTACTACTACTACTTCTCTCTATATTGTTACTCTTATTTCCATCGCTGCTGTTATGATTGTTTTTATTATTGTGAATCATAATAACAATAACAGGAATAATAATAATAATATTATAAATTCTTTTTTTACTATTTTCGCTGAGTAAGCAGGCGCACCTGTGTTTTTTGTGCTCTGTTCATACAAGTTAAAAAGCTGAACGGTACTGATGATGATGCTTATGATGATGATGATGATGATTATGAGGATGATGATGATGATGATGAGGATGATGATGATAATGATATTATTGTTGTTGATGATAATGATGTTATTGTTGTTGATGATTTGGCTAGTGGTTGAGAATATAAATAAAATAATAATAATAACAATAATAACGGGAACCTTCTTTTATTTTTAGCATAAAACACATATAAAAAAAGCAAGAATTAATCGTCTATGATAGATAAAATTTAATAGAATAAAATAAAACTTATTATAAAATATCAGGAAATGTCTTTTGAAGCTGGTCATGCTGTACGGAATGGGTACGACTGGTTGTTTCTATCACAATAAATGGCATGTGATGAGGATTTTGCTGAGTTAATAAGGTTCTTGTAAAATTGACCACACCAATTTAAGTTAAATAAAGACAAATTAAAACTATTAAAAAACCTAATGGAGAAATTTCGAAAGTGCTTATCGTTATTTTAAAATGATTAAAGTCGTCAAGTGAATTGCTAGAATATTTAGACAGTTTATATAGTTTTCAGTTAAGTTCGTTAATATCTTTAGTATTTGGAAGCAAGTTTCCAATCTTTATGTAATAGCTGTACGACTCGCTCAAGATTTGGCAAAATTTTTGTGTGATTTAACGGTGACAAGTATGGTCCTCTGATGTCTCTTCGCATTATTGAGTAGGTGAGTTAAAAGTTTGTTGTGTTCCGTCAAGCCATCTACTTTTGGGTAGAAACCTTTTTGGATGTTTTTATTTATCAAGTCGTTGGTTTTTAAAAAAATATAAATTTTCTTGTTTATGAAAGATGAAAACATTTTGTAGAATGTATGTTGCAAGGTTATGGACCTGAAATTGGTGGGATCATGAGCATCTCCTTCATTGTTGATGCATACTCGTTTATTATGAACAAACAATAAAATTTTTACATAATGGGGCATTCCAAAAGAGTAAATCTTAACAGTGGCGTCACTAGGAGGGTGCGGGGGGTGCAGACCGCACCGGGTGACCCTCACAAGGGGTGACACCAAAATATCACTGTATATGTTTTTATGTCCCTCCATGAAATTATTCTTATCATTGGTTCAGCCTTACCCGCCCAGCGCCCAGAAATGTATTATGAATAAAAATTTTTTCGTTCAAATCATTTTTGTATTCGACGTTTATACCATTCGAATTCGACGTCCGAATTATTAAGCGCCGCGGCCGCGCACATTTAACTTGTTCGTGTCTAACGTAACGTACAACAGTGTTTGTTTTGCCCACCCACTACAAGCGAGTGTTAGTCAAGTTTAAGAGAATAATCTATAATTTACTTAAAGTAAAAAATTATTTAATTTTTAATCAATTTAATGATATACGACAACAATTCAAAGTAATTTCACAAAAGTTGATTCCTGATCCGCAAGTACAAATATAATTTGTTTTATTAGCATTTAAATAATTTTAAAATTTTTACATTTAACCAACCAAATTTCAAATAATTTTATTTTATTTATTTATATTTATATATTTATTGTTGAAGGATATTATATCATGCCACGTAGAGGTGGAGTTCATACAACAAAACGGCTAAGCGGATGTCAACAAAGAAAAGCCAAAATAAAGAAATTGCGCGGATCTATGCTGCAATATGTAAAGGGATCAGATGAGGCCCAGAGTTTTTCCAAAGACACAGTTCCTCAACCGCAAATTGATGAGACTAATTTATCTGATGCTGGTATGCATTCAGCAGAGGAAAACATTAATATAATAGAAGAAAATAAAGCAGAACAAGATAAAGAAATAGATGAATTTGTAGCAGAAGAGTGGACTGATAATAGTGACTCTAAATATGATACTGAAAATGAACTTACGGAGAAAAATTGGAATGTTTTGGATGATGCTTCTTATTGGAATATACCTATTCCAGATCAATTGCGCGTTCAAATCATCAAAAGAGGAAGTGCATATATCCAGAACAAAGATGGGCCTTTCAGGATGTTGACGAGGCAAGATCTAAAAGCTAAAAGTGAGGTTCGCAAGCTATCCAAAGAGTGGTTTTATATGGTGATGCCAAATGGTGAGAAGGTGTTGCGAACATGGATGGTTTTTTCTCCCGTCAGTGAGAAATTATATTGTTTTTGCTGCCGACTCTTTGCCGTTAATGCTACAGACACAACATCCAAATTTGTGACTGGATTTCAGACATGGTGGAAAATGAGCCCGAAAGTGCCTAATCATAAGACATCCGATGCTCACTTGTATTGCTTTGAAAAATGGAAAACCTTGGAGGTGAGACTTAGAATGCACAAAACAATTGATGCAGAAAATATTGCTTTGATAGACATAGAGAAAAAAAAGTGGAGAGACGTCTTGCATAGACGTCTCTCCACGATATTATGTAATATCGAGACGTCTGCTCGATATTACATTATTTCTCGCCAAGCAAAATCTGGCTTTTCGGGGCCACAATGAAAAAGAATCTTCATTAAATAAAGGAAACTTTTTTGAAATGGTTGAGATGCTTTCTAAATATGACTCACTGATTAAAGAGCACCTATTAACATTAAAGCAAAGCACACATAAAACTAAAGCATCAGCATCTTATCTTGCACCAAATACTCAGAATAAGTTTATTCATGTCCTAGCAAATCATGTAAAGGAGAAGCTTATCATGGATATAAAATCTGCCCGGTGTTTTGGTATCATGTTTGATAGCACACCTGACGTATCACACACTGACCAAATGTCTGAATTATCAGATATGTGAAAAATCATAATAGAAAAGTTGAAGTAAGAGAAGTGTATCTGGGATATTTTCCTTTAAAAGGGAAAAAAGCTGCTGATCTCACTTCTGATATTTTTGAAAATTTGGAAAGTGATGGACTCGACTTTATGATGTGCCGCGCTCAAAGTTACGACAATGCTGCGACAATGGCTAGAATCCATGGGGGTGTACAAGCCATTTTGAAAAGAAAGAACAGGAAAGCTATTTTTAATGGTTGTGTGGACCATTCTCTTAACTTGTGTGGCCAACACTCTTTTGCTGAAAATGCTTCGTGCGTGACTTTTTTGGGAACTCTTGAGACAATGTTTTCATTTTTTGCTGCTTCCACTCACCGATGGGATGTTTTAATGAACCACACTGGAGTTTGCTTAAAAAGATTATCAACAACACGCTGGAGTTCTCATCACGCAGCAGTAAAGGCAGTGAAAGAAAAATTCGATGAATGTGTGGCGGCAATAGAAGGTCTATGTGATCCTGGGGAAAATCTAGACACAAGAGTTACAGCCCAAGGTCTTTTACATGCTATCTGCAATTTCACTTTTCTGTGCTACCTCTTCTTTTGGTGTGATGTACATGAAGAAGTAAATCTAACGCAGCTGTACCTTCAGACTAAGGGCTTAAGTCTTGACAAGGTGGTAACAAAGCTAGAGACACAAAGACTTTTTATGTATGAGAAGCGCAATCATCTTGTGGAGCAGGCAGTTGAACAGGCACTTATAAAATCAGACCAATATGGAATTTCAGAAGACAGCAGACCCAGGTTCAAGAAGAGGATGGCAGGCGAGCGCGAGAGAGATGCTGGACTAACTCTGCAGGAAGAAAACACGAGAGCGATGTATGAGTATATTGATCGTTTTCATTCTGAACTCCAGATCAAATCAAGAGCCATCAAGGAATTAGCAGCCATGTTTGAGGTTGTTCAAGCCAAGAGTTTGATATCTGCTACTGAAAAAGAGTTAAAATTTCAATATTGACCACATTCTATGATGAGTTATCAGAGATAGAGCTTTTATTAGAAATACCAAGACTGAGAAGACATCTGAAGGCAGCAGAGATTGATCTTGAAGAAGCCAAAAACTGGTCACGTGGTCAGTACTTGACATTTTGAAATTCATAGTTGAATGGGACTTTCTAGAATCTCTCCCATATCTCTCAGTGAGCCTACAATTATTTCTTACAATCTGTGTGTTTGTGGCTTCATGTGAGAGGAGTTTTTCAAAGCTAAAGATTATAAAGATCTACTATGGGACAGTCTAGGCTTTTCTTGCAATATTATCAATTAAAAGAGATTTGGCAAAAGAAGTTGATTTTGATGAAGTAATTAACAAGTTTGCATCTCTAAAGGCGAGGAAAGGGAAGTTCTGATTTAATTGAGATTTAATGTGACATAAAATTTAATGTAAAAATAACAATTAAAAATGTTTTATTTTTTAAAATCTTTGATAGATCACAATTTTTTTTAGAGAACAAAAAATTCGACCTTGAATTATTTTTTCTTCTATTTTCGTTGTAAATTTATTTATAAAATTTGCTAAGAATGCTCTATGTCTATGGGGTGTCATAAGAGGGGTGACACCATGAGTTACCGCACCGGGTGACACCAACCCTAGTGACGCCACTGAATCTTAACTAAGCAAAATCCCCAACATTCAAAAAAGTAATCCATAAATTCATAGTTCGCGTAAATAAATGTAAATTAAATAATTTTTTTTCTTTCTTTTTTATAACATTAAAAGAATCAATTTAAAAACATATATATATATATATATAATATGTAAAATTTATAATGTTTAAAACCAATTAATATATGCATATATGTAAAATATGTAAAATGTATAATGTTTAAAACCAATTAATGTATGCAGACATGAGAATTGTGAAGCTCTTTTTCCAACAAACTGAGATTTTGCTAAATACCCAAGACTGAATTAGCTGTTTGTGTAAAATTGTACGTAATATTAAGCATTTTTTAAATGAAATTATTGAGATTTGATCAAGTGAATAGACAGAGTGAAGGTTTTGTTGATATTACGTGGAATGATGGAGGACTTGTGTTGCAGGGTTTTGTAGGTTTTTGTAGCTGTTAAGTCTAGTATAGTAGCTGCTACTTTTTCTGGTCGAACTTAGATTATTATGTCTCCAATAATATTTTTGTTGATATTGATTATTATATTAGTGACAATCAATAATAATAATGATAATAATAATAATAATTATCATTATTATTATTATTGATTGTCAATTATTAATTATTATTATTATTATTATAGTAATAATAATAATAATAGTGAGGATGATGATGATGATGATGATGACGATGGTGATGACGATGATGATGATGATGTTGATGTTGATAATGAGGATAACGATTGCTAATGAGATTTTTTAGTAGCATTGGATTTTCCAACTATCACGTGACTTGTTCCCGTGTTGATACACGGTGTTAGGACCATGATTTCGTTTGTTGATGTTATTGTTGTTGTTTTGTTAATTTAGAATAATAACAACAATAACAACAACAATAATGATGATAGTCCTGACTATTGTTATTATTTGTTACTAGTATAATATTAATCAACAGCAACAAATATATTATCAGCTCATATCGATACCGTCAAATTACTACTACTACTACTAATAACAAACGCAAAAAATAATAATATTAAAGGTATTCAATAAACCAAAGGAAAGATATTTTTTTTCTTTTGTAACTTGAACCCTGGGAATATATATATACATATATTGTGTATGTGTGTGTGTGCGTGTGTGTGTGTGTGTGTGTGTGCATTCATGTGAGCGTTTGTATTTGTGTTTGCGTGTGTATATTAGTTGACATTATGATGATTCTCGCGCGTTTGGTTGCGATTCCACCATATGCTCTTTTTGTAAATAGATGAATGCAGGTGATAATCTGATTTAATGCCTTTTTAATCCGGCATGTGTATTTAAACGTTTGTACGTCTTCCTTACCGTTTGTAGTTCGGAGACCATATCTAACTAATTTACCATGCTTGTTTTGTTGGCGGGGTTAGCTCATAGTGTAGGAATGTCATGCGTAGCATTGGTGTTGTTGCGCCGTTACCTGGTTCGAATCTTACCTGACCGAGACTCTTGACTCTTGTACGAATGATGCGGCGCGTCCGTGTGATGTGGTGAGGGTGGATGTGGTGAGGTGTGGTGTGATGTGATGTGGTGTGGGTGGATGTTTTACTCAGAGCATCGAACCCGAAACTTTGCTCGGAACAAAAACTGTAACCGAACCGAAATATTGTTTGCTAGTTTAACCGATACCGAAAACCGTAACGAAATAAATAACGGTTCGATGCTAAAAACTTAAAAGAAAATATTTTTGTCAAATTCATTAAAAAAAATATTTAGATAACATTTCGTCTTTTAAAATTATATTTTAATCTTTATTATCTTTGAAAATTTGTTATATTTCTTTTCTTTTGCTTTTCCGACTGAGTTCGCCGATCATTTGAGTAAGAATTGCCACATGAAGAGATATCCAATATAATTGGAGAAATTAGAGATCAAGTGCGACCATCTTTAAAGTTTTGAAGTACCAGTTACACAAGCGAGCCTGAAAAGTTTTGTTTCTGGCTTAAAATTTATCCACAGAGACTGCAGAAGTGGTTTCAATAAAAATATTTTAGAAGATATACTAATAATCAGAAGAAATTTTCATTTTTTTTGAAACAATCATATATTTATATGAGTGATTTCAAAAAATCTTTCTATTGATTGTTTTAATTTGTTAAAAACAAATATTAGAAACGTTTCCTTTTATACTGACAACATTTAAAAATCATTTTTGTTATTAATTTCATAATATTCACAATCTAAAATTTAGTTCAATTTGACATAGTTCGTATGCCCGTTAGTTGTTGATATTAGGAACTTTCATATTGTATCTGGATTTTGCAGAATTATTTCGTGTTTCACTATTAAACTTTAGTAGAAATCATTTTTTTGAATCACATTAAAATTTTTTAACTGAAACCATATGGGTAGAATAACGATAATATTGAAAAAAAATGAAGAAATATGTTGTAATGTAATTGGAACGTAACATTTCGCAAAAAATTGAGTACTTCTTGGCAAACTGAAACATCATATATAGTGCGGAATAAAAGAAAAATTGCCATATTTATTTAAAAATATTTGTAATTCTTTTCTACCATTGACTTTAAAAGTTATTTTAAATAAAACATTTTTTATAAATAGCGTGCAAAAAACGTTCTATCAGCTTAAACTCAGATAAAGCTAATTGAAATTGTCTCAGAAATTGCCTGAGCTTCAGCTTAAGCATGAACTTGATCTTTTCAAACATTACCCAAAATTTTATCTTAGTATACTATGAAATGTAGGTATCGTTTCAGATGTCTGTCAGAAATGCAATTATTGATGAAAATCACAGCATGTTCGGCTTTAGTTAACTTCCAATTTAACTTTTTGATTTTTCTAACGATTGATCGTAAGTCATTTTCAAGTTTCTTTAGTTCAAAACCAAAATTTTTGTTTATTTTAGCATGACAGAACATAAAAGTTTTTATCGGTATTTCTATACCATCTTCGGTGTTCAAATTGATATGTTGTGGTTGTGCCCAGATACTCAAATATACATATATACTGTGCCTCTACTCTACTTTGTTGATTCCTTGTTTGTTTAAAGCAAATAATGCTTAATGCTCATTTAATTCGTTTTACAATCTTCAACTTCGTTTAATATAAATCTTTTACGTGTTTTCATTATTGATAATTTCTCTGTTTCTAAATTTATTGGTAAAAATTCCAATTGCCGTTGTTGAATATTTATTATCGGATGTCCTTGTTCTATGAGTAATGATTCGGTTATTCGTAAATTATAATGGTTGTAATTGTAATGTAAGATTTCAACATTGTGGTCCAAGGTTTGTCTAGTAATTTTAGTTTTGTGTTTCTCTTTTATGTAATTTTTGATAGCGCCAGTTTGTACATGCATCGTGAGTTTTCTGAAAAAACTTGAAAATGATTTACGATCAACCATCGGAAAAATTGAAAATTTAAATTGGAAGTTAACTAACGCCGAACATGCTGTGATTTTCATCAATAATTGCATTTCTGACAGTCTTAATCTTATATATATATAAGGCTATAACTCACTAAAGTTTTTGGTGAACGTTTAGTTTATTAAAATTCAAAATAAATTTATTTTTCGAATTCATGCTGCAAATAAGGCCATACTCATTAGTGAGAAAAATTGAAAAAACGAACTACAAACATATTAACGCCAAACATTCGGTAGAATTTATATATATATTGTATATATATATGGTCTATTACCAACATATATATATATATATATATATATATATATATATATATATATATATATATATATATACACACACATATATATATATATATATATATATATACACACACACACATATATATATATATATATATATAGTGTTTACATTTGTTTATACCTGCTCACATTCATTAGGCGCGTACAAGCCCGTCCAAATGTATCCCATTTAAAAGTGACTGAATGAATTAAAGAATGAATTATGATGAGAACCTAGGCAACAATGGTGATGGTGATGATGATTATGGTAGTGTTTTTGATGATGATGATGGTGATGATGTTGTTAAAGGTTAGGATGACGATGTTGATAATGATGATAAGGATAATATTGCTGATGGCGGTAACAACGCAACCAAGAGTAATTTATCTCAAAATAAGTAATTTGAGTTTGGTGGTCGTAAGAAGTTAGCAATGAGTGATTAATGTTGTAGCCAGGATGAGTGTCTAACTTTGTTATCATTCAAACAATTGTAACTAAAACTTGTTTTCTGTAATTTCTATTGTTCCACTCAGTGTGATGTTTATTAACTATTAATTTATTTTATCATACTATACATTTTATTTGCGTTTTCAAATTCAAATTGTGAATCAACGATTAACTCTTTAAAAATTGTCTTAGTAAAAAATTAACTAAATGTCTTTGACGCAATTTGTATTTTTCAACATCAAAAACTAATTTATTTGCTAGTTTTTGACGCTATTCGCAAGCTTTACATTTAATATTATTATTTTTTGTTCGCTAGAGTTTTTATAATGATTAATATTGATATACATTTATATTATATTATATTGATAGGTATTTGTGATGTATGGGTTGCAATAATTAACTCAAAAGTTGCTGTAACTCTTTCATTGAATAACAAATTTATTCAACCATAAAAACTGCTGTACAAAACAGTAAAATAGTTAATATATATGTTAATAATTTTTATTTATATTATATAAGATAAAACAACTGAATAATTTTGAAATGGCTGATGTTGATGCAATCCGGGGCAAAAAATTGAACATCATCAAACTTACCACACAGGTTTCAACCATCCAACTGAGTTTGTTATTTTGTTATTTTGCTACTATCAAATAAGTTAGGCATAAAATTTAGAATTTGTCTAGAAGAAGTTTGTATTAATGACGTAACACTTTTGTCATTTCAATTAAATATTTTCGAATACGCAGTTTTTGTGAACATACAGAATAGCGAATTTGCAATATATATTTGCAGTTCAAGCAATAAAATTTTTTCTCGAAATGTTCTGACATGTTTACCACTTTTGTGTCTTACTGTTTCGTGTCAGACGAGCCGCTCTGCATCCGATATGATTCAAACTGAATTTACCAGATGAAAAAGGAAGAGGAGAACATTGTCATAATGAATATTTTTTTTCAATTGGAAATTTAATTTATTTTTTAATTTGTGATATTATGAAATAATAATGCAATGATGTTATTTGTTCTGTTCTGAACAGACGAGATGATGTCGAAGAGAGAAGCTACAGAAACTGATCGAGTCACCCGTTCAAGCAGCACTGAACTGACAACAGATGAAAACGAAAACAAACAGGGATCAAATTCTAGTGAGACGAACAATGGGAATTCATTCGCATTTGATATGCAACAATTCATGCAGATGTTTGCAAAAATGAAAGCTGAAATGAAAAAACAAAACGCTGAAATGAAGGCTGGTGCCGATTGTCGAGCAGAAACAAGCGATAAACAATTCGCGAAAATGAAAGCTGATGCCGTCCGGCGACCAGAATAGCAATCCGCTGATGCCAATAGTCAAGCAGAAAAGCAATTCATCCGCTGATGCCGATAGTCGAGCGAAAAAGCAATTTGTGGAAACGAAAAATCAAAACGCTGAGATGTCTGCAAAGACCGATCAACGGATAGCCGAATCAAGAGAAAAGAGAGCCGAATTACGAGCGGCCAATGAAATAATACAACCAACTTTTGAGAAAATATCTCTTAATAAAGAGACTATACCAGAAACGGCTACACAAGAGTCGGAAATTATTCTACCAGCATATTCACCAACAAATGATGTCGACGGCGACGCACGTGTTAACTGCGATGCACGTGGTACCTGCAATGCACGTAACAACTATGATGCACGTGTTGACGTGCAGAAAGGTAGTCATCACGTTGATGAAAAGAAAGATGATGACAACAGTGATACAGTTTACATCAATCTTGATGATGATTGAGAAGTAATCGGCAGATTGACTGACGAAAAGAACGAGTTAAAAGAACTTACTTAATCAAACGACTCCGATAACGAAAAGGTGAGCAAAGATAAATAAGACAGACTTAAGAAAGGTCTGAATAAAATAACAACAGACAGAAATATTCTCAAGACAAAAGGTCAAAGTTATCAATAGGAACTTAAAGAAATCGAGAGACCAAAACAGGAGCATACAGATGAGATGAAAGAACGGAAAGATAAGAATGACATAAAAGCAAAGCAGATGCTCGGAGAGTTTCAAGTAAAGACGGAAGAGAATGAGAAACAGACCCAAGATAACTTAACCATATCGTTAAAAAAATTGAAAATAAAAATTGAGATAGACTGAAAGAACTGCAAAATGAAATTGAAGAACTGAAAAACGACTTGAAATTGAAGGATGAGTACCTTGATGAACAAAGCGCACAAATTGATGACCTTAAACTAATTATGAGTCGAATGCATGCAGAACATGAGTGGAAGGATTGGGAAGGGCCGTGCCAAATTGTCACCCGGATCAACAACGTGGTGTACCGGGTCCGAAAACGACGTAAGCCTTGTATCAAAATGAAGATCGTACATATGGATCGGCTAGCCTTTTACTCAGAATCAGAAGATCAACGCAACGCTCTCACCCGACAAATGTTCCCATTGCACATTTCTTTCTTCAACTAGATCTAATACAATTCTTCATCAATATTTGATTGGTCATCGCGATTCACCATGCATGGACCACTGTAAGGACCTTGGTGTAATTGTCGACAACCAACTTAATTCTAATTTTCATATCAACTAGGGATGCACCGAAGTTTGGCCCCGGCCAAAATCCGGCTTTTTTTCAAAAAACATTTAAAAACGTTATAAATAAAAAATTTTTTTTATTGAATTCAATTAATTTTATATCAATAAGTTAAAGGCTAAGCATACATGACACATAATAACAACATCACTAATTGTGAGATGAGCTGGACAATTTTCTTAATGCTATAACATGGGTTATGCATAAATTATAAGCTGATCTTTGTGTTAAAGAACTTGTGCACGTATATATACAATATAATTGCATATGACGGATCATATAGCTACATAATATATATATAGACATATATATATATATATATATATATATATATACATATATTTTTCAAGAAAATCAACCGCGTTAATACAATTATTATGTTTATACATTAATTTTTCAAGTTTTCCAATTAAAATTTGATTATAATTATTTAATTTATTAAGTAAAAAACTAAAATTATTATTGTTCACTAATTGTGAGGTGAGCTGGACAATTTTCTTTATGCTATAACATGGGTTATGCAAAAATTATAAGCTGATCTTTGTGTACAGAATTTGCCGTATCACACAGCTTATTCATATATTTGAATTAATTAACTATTTGCTTGGTGTTATTTTTTGATGTTCAACATGTAGATAACCGTAAATGTGAGTATTTTTCTTAACGTACGTAAATGGTAACTAAAATCCGGCCCCGGCCGGTTTTTGAATTTTAAATCCGGCCAAGTCCGGCCCCGGCCGGACTTGAAAAACTTAAATACGGTGCATCCCTAATATCAACGTTAAGCTTCCTTTCGTGCACGATTAATCACCAAATGTTTTACCTCAAAGAATATGATTCATCTGTGTGGAATCCACAATACAAATACCATTCAAAGAATTGTTGAAAATTATGCAAATCGTGAAATAATAGATAAATAGGTGGATTGGCTCATGATTTTAATTTCTGAACGTTTTTTACATTATCCTTTAATATTTTTATTTTAAATAATTAAAAATTGTGTATTGAGTACTGTTTTATTTTCTGAAGCAATAAACTTAAAAGAACCTGTTCATTAAATTAATACAATAAAAAAAAGTCTCATTATAGAGCGCTTTGTAAAACTGAAAATACATTACAAAGAATTTTCCTGCGAAAAATTTTTTCCAGAAGAATTTTCTGCGAAGAAATTTATGCGAAGAATTTTTTCTGGACACAGTGAGTATTTTTTAAATTTAAACTGTACTATAATAGATGAGCTTAATTATGTTAGGCATCGTACTTATTATTTAAAAATTTTCCAAGATAATTTCACTAAATAATTTTAAAATTTAAAGCGCTTTTTTCGCCAGGTTTTTCTTCACATTTTAAAGCTTAACTATCAAATTTCAAAAATATAATTATATGTTGCATATTATTTAATATGCTTTTCAAACAATTTATTTAACATTTATATATTAATAATGATTTAATTTCATTTTCAACATTCAACCAATTTATGTGAAAAAAATAAAGCGCTTCCATTGGTCGTAAATATTAATTAAAGGCGAAGTCAATTTTAAAGGTCCTCAGTATTATTCTATGTAAACAAGCTACTCGTGGAGCGCTAACGTTTTACATACCGTTATATTCTAAGTATATGCAAGATTTTCGTAGTCGTCGTCGACGATGCCGTGAAGGTTGCCGCGGCGTTCCCTCCTACCGCTTCTTTCGTACACGCCACCAGCCTCTCCATACCGCACACCTTCGCCTTCTTCACGCGCGTGGTCGTTTTCCTGGCCGGGACTCGCCGGTCTACAATATCTTCTACAGACCTCAGGGTCGGAATATACGGGCCGGGCGAAAGGGAATGTTTCGCCCTTCTTGCCGGGCGTACGGACCGACCTCTTGCAAGTCTTCTCTCAAGCGTTTGGTCATTTCTTTATTATTATTTTATTTATTAAAACAGAAACAATATTACGGATTAACGTTTATTATAAACTATATTCGACAGCGATCAATTAAAATAACTAGTTCAATAAACAAATCATTAAATAATCCAATAATCTAGAATGATCAACCCTTCACAATAATCTACATAATCAACAGTCCATAATAATCTACAATTATCAACCGTCCTAATGTCAACTCCGGCACTAGAACAGAACGAAAAAAAGGGCTTAATTTATTTGTGCAGGCTATTTATAGACTTGCACGACGCTCTCTCCTAGGTAAGCGCTCGTACTTTGGGCTAGTAACCGGCCCACGTGATCATGTAAAATTTCCAGTACACGCCACCATAATCATCAGATTTTACATATATGAGGGTAGCTTATTTAATTAAATTTAAAAATTCGGTTTTAAAATAATTTAATTACAAGTAATTAATTTTAACTAATTTATTTAATTTTAATTAAATTTTTTTTAAATTTGTTTTTAGTTATGTTATAATTATTATTATTATTATATCGTGGATACTTATATCTTTGTTTATAATCTTTTTCCGTTACATAAAAATAAATAAGTTGTTGGTTGTAAAAGTATTTCGCGTAATTTTTCGATGAATTGTTATTTTTAACTTAATTATTATATTCAATTTTTTGCAAAATACGTAGAACATCGAATTTTTCTCGACGATCCCTTGACGCAATTAGGCTCAGAAGTTTAACAATTCAATTAACTGAAGAAGACAGAGAAATTGCAAGAAAGGAGAATCGTGTTAGAATTTTTTAATTGCATTGAAAACGATACTGTTAATAAGTTTTTTATTTAAATTTTTTATTTTACAAATTAATCTTTTTTAATTTAAACCAAATTATAAATAAGTTTACCAAGATTCATTTTTTTTTAATTAAAAAGCTCAACGCTTCGAAAACTTTCTTTCATGAACACTGAGTTAAATTTAAATTGATGTAATATTCATATCGATAAGTGACGTCATAGAGATGTGCGGTATCGTTATGTTAACTAATAGAAAAATGGTTGTGTGTGTATATATATATATATATATATATATATATATATATATATATATATATATATATGTATATATATTGTATTGCATTGCATTGTATATTTGTAAATTGCATCTATTGAGCTATCTTCAAAGACGCTGTTTTATTGAAAAAAATGATGTTTCAAGCCGCCTCTAAACTTTTATATAAAATAATTTTAAAACATACAAAACGAATTTGTATTTAATTAAAAAACATATTTTGAATGAAGCATGAACAATTCCTTCTTGATTTTGGACCATTTTGGGTTACATGTGAATGTAAGAAATAAGTCTGGGCGGCTATATCTCTAACATGATATAGCATCTTGAACATATTTATGCATGGATATTGTAATTAGGGATGCACCGGACTTAGGTTTTTCAAATCCGACCGGGGCCGGACTTGGCCGAATTTAAAATTCAAAAACCGGCCGGGGCCGGATTTTAGTTCCCATTTTACATACGTTAGAAAAAATACTTACATTTACGGTTAACTACATGTTGAACATTAAAAAATAACACCAAGCAAATAGTTAATAAATTCAAATATATGAATAAGCTGTGTGATACGCCAAATTCTGTACAAAAAGATCAGCTTATAATTTATGCTTAACCCGTGTTATAGCACAAAGAAAATTGTCCAGCTCACCTCACAATTAGTGATGTTGTAATCATGTGTCATGTATGCCTAGCCTAATTTTTAACATACCATGTTCTTAAATTATGCGCTTATGTATCTCTCTCTCTCTCTCTCTCTCTCTCTCTCTATATATATATATATATATATATATATATATATATATATTATGTAGCTATATGATCTGTCATTTACAATTATATAGTATAAACACGTGCACAAGTTCTTTTACACAAAGATCAGCTTATAATTTATGCTTAACCCATGTTATAGCATAAAAATTGTCCAGCTCACTTCACAATTAGTGATGTTGTTGTTATGTGTCATGTATGCTTATCCTTTAACTTATTGGCATAAAATTAATTGAATTCAATAAAAAAAATTTTCTATTTATAACATTTTAAAATGTTGATAGACGCTTAAATCCGGCCACCAAATCCGGCCGGGGCCGGATTCAGCCGGATTTGAAAAAAAGCCGGATTTTGGCCGGGCCGGAGTCGGGGCCGAACTTCGGTGCATCCCTAATTGTAATGCATCATAACTCCTGTGAGCTTCAGATACTCGTTTTAAATCACTATTCCGACAATGAAGCACAATATCTCTAGATTGTAAATTTTCTCCCACAATAACAACAGCCACTTCGTCAATGGTAGGTGAATTAAACCTCCCTGTGTGTTTACCGGCAGGTGTTTTGTCAGACCTATGACTATCAGATGGCATCCAATCAAACGCTATTTTAAACATGTTTACTAAATTGTCATTCTGATGAAGAAACATTTGTAATTCATGGACAATGGTTCTCTTCACTGTTAAATTGAGAGCACAACGATTATCAACTTCCGCATCTGAATTGCCCATAAAATAGATTTTTAAAAATTGATAATCAGCATTCAGGTACTGGTAACAGTGTCCCTAGTAAGCGACAAATTTGTTCTTGTATCTGTAATTTTTAAAAATTTGTCAATTCATTATTTTCGATATATATGTTTTAGAACATATTGAATATTATAAAAAAATATTTTGGTATAATACCATGAAAGTGTGGATAAAATAAAATCTGTATAATAAGTGTAGCGCCAAATGATGTCATCTGAAAACAGCTGTTATATTTCTGAATGTGGCCAAGAAGTGCTTAGAATCATTTCCGGTAAAATCATAGCACTCCGCGCTTAAGTTGTTTACATAGAATAACATGGAGGACTTTTAAATTTGACTCCATCCTTCATTAATATTAATGACCAACCGAAACGCTTAATTTTTTGCAATTTGTAATTTTAAATTTTTAATGATATTTTTTATTTTTAAAAAATGTTATAAACATGAGAACTATTTGTAATTTTATTTGCACATTATATTTTCAATAAAAAAAGAAAAGAAACAGAAGTATCTAATAATAATCGATAGTTAATAAAAAAAATAAAGCGTTAAAATTTTAAACCGCGTAATATTGTCGTATAAGTTCCAGGGCTTTTTGGAACCGCTTTTTTCTATCTCCTATGGTGCTCAGCCACATAAATTCGTCAGGGTATGATTGTACGTAAGCATCGCACGTGCCATTCTTTCTCTTAAATTTTTGTTTGGCGCATCGCCACAAATTCTCCACTCCATTTTTGTGCACTCCGCTTACGACTTGAAATGTAATGGAGTGATTTACGGTTTAGTGTGCTAGACTGGTTACGGCTGTTATAAGCAGCCCATTGATCCGTCCAAACTGTTGTACCTAAAATTATTAAAATCGAACTATATTTCCTAACCAAAACCAAAATGAATTTTAAAACATTACACTTTATGGAACCAACAGGGCAGAACATGTTGCTGTATCAATGGCAACAACGTGGCAGCATCTAGTCTATCTATTTTCACCAGTAAGGCATCCTTTGTTTGCGTATCGTATTGCGTAACAACGTGGCAGCATCTAGTCTATCTATTTTCACCAGTAAGGCATCCTTTGTTTGCGTATCGATGCCTTCAAAAAACCAGCGTTCTCTAATTGGGCGTGCATTCTGGTTTTTCAATCTCTTTGCAGATAAGATACAGCTTTAATCTATTTGAACAATGTGACCCGGGTCACCTATTCGTGCAGGGTTATCACGAGCTCAGTCCATACATAAATCCCGATGTAAATTGAGCCAGTCAGGCAATGTGTTCCCGACGTTTAAATCTAAAAGTGCCTCAACCGTAGCCTGGCTAACGTTATTCATAGACCAGAAAAAAGTTACCTGTTATATTAAATTTAAAACTACTCGCATCATCATTTTTAAACAAATGAAATTAATTTATAAACAATGAAAAAACCTTACCAAATTACAGTTTGTCAACGACATTTGGCTATTTGCCTTATGGTTTTTGTGGCGCGGCATCTGGAGTTTCTACACCTCCACAAGTAGCCATTTGCCGTTGTTGTGCTTTCTGCAAACCTTTTTTATATATTTTTTTAAACAGAATCTGACAAACGAGAAAATTGTACAGCAGGCAAGGCAGTAGTATAAAATGAGAACGAAAAATAGTTAACGGCGAAAAAATGTTAAAGCATGAAAAGTATGTAAACCTCATGTCTGCCAGACATTGGCATGTTATCGTGGCTGATATCAAACCGTGCTGTTTTGCCCACCTTACAGCATCTTCTGTGTTTAAAATTTTACCTATCAGTTCAACCATTTTTATTCGTTTAACTAAGGGGTAAACAGCCATTTTTAACGTAAATTAACAATAAATTTTTATAGATGAAAAATAGAAATAAATGCAATTGAAAATAGCAAAAAGAAAAATAAAAAATAATTTCTTTTTAATATTAAAACTCTTTCATGTAAAAAATTGCACAGCTTAATTATTACATTTAAATTTAATCCATATTTTATTTATATTTAATCAGTATTTTAATATATGAGTTTATTTTATTGGGCATCAAAATTATTAACTTACATTTTTTTAATAATTTTTTAAATTTTTTGTTTAATAATAATGATTTCATTTTATTTTCAACATTCAAACAATTTTTTAAAAATTTCTTAATTTATTACAATAAAATGAAGCACTTCGGTTGGGCGGAGTCAAATTTAAAGGCCTTCAATATTATTCTATGTAAACAACTTATGCGCGGAGTGCTGAGATTTTATCTCATTTCCAATCCCAGAAACTAATGATCGTAAAGGATCTGGTGGTGGGACCGATTGTGGCAATTTTACAACATAATCCAATAGATTCACGAGTGCATTTTAACGACTTACAATATTTACAAATTATTTTCATTTCACCAATTGTTACCGATTTGTCGGCACAATAATCTATTTCCGAATCATAGTGGAATGCAGCTCGTTCAAGAATCACAGAAGCACTCCGTCTGCGGATTCGCTAATTCCCATTATGCCGTGCTTGATGTTGTGTTTGATGTGCACCAACTTGTTGCATTCTAAGCCTATCTACTTCATTATCACTCACTAAATAACGCATTTCTGACATAGCAATACGACTATTTTATTGATCTGTCTCTCTCTCTGGTCATCAGTGCGGTTAGCACGTGAGGTAGCTCTTCGCACATTTGATTGACTGCGACGACCTAGGTCAGTTCGTCTTCTCCTCGGAATCGTAAATTGTAAGTAATCAAAGTGAGACAATTTCTCGCTCACTTAGCAGTAAAGTGTCACAATCACAAAATATTCAAAAAAGAGCACATTTCTCTGAATGTCACTATCACAAAGAATCAACAAAGTAAGAGAGTTCTTGCGCATTCATAGATATCGTAACAATATCGTAATACTTTTTTCGGTGTTCTAAAATGCGACAGGATGGATTGACATATTAATTGAACTTTAATGAATATCAATAAAATTTAAATTTTATTTAGAAAACGTTTAAACGGGAGAAAAAAACCTCTTTTCAGGGTTTTCCTGGCAATTATTCAAATTTTTCTCACATTTTAAACCTTCCCTAGACTTCGGCAAACATTTCAAGACCGAGATAAAATTACTCCTTTCAGACGTTCTCGAGTTTTAGCGAAACTAACAAACAGCAATTGATTTATATATACATACATACATACATACATATATACATACATACATATATATATATATATATATATATATATATAGTTATTGAGAAATATCACTGAATTTTCCGCTTTGTTGAGTATGTAACATAACCATCATCAATGTAATTAGTAATTACACTGATGATGAAAAAGTTTCACACTCAACTTTCAAAGTTTCATAATTAAAGGTATAAATTCGGTATATTTTGTGATAAATATCAACAATAATTTAATAGTTTATATTATTATATTTTAATAATTAATATTATATTTTTTAAAGATGGCCCCACGCAAAGCAAAAAATTTTAATGAAATTTATGATGAAAGGTTTGATATTCAGTTATACTTCCTTGTAATTTTTTTTCTTAAATGTTAGATAAATTTCAATTGTTATGATTGAGAAAAAAATTGTTATACTGTATTATCATCCCTAACCATACTATCATTTATTCTATTTTATTTATTAAATAAAAAAACTAAAAAGTATTTCTTGAGACTATGTTACAGTATCCATAATATTTTTATTTTATTTGGCATAAATTTCTAATTTATGTACTCAATATTTTTATATTAATTTTTTTTCAAATGTTTAAAATATTTGTAATATTTGTTTTTTAGGCAGACAAAGATCAATGAATTTTTCATCTTTCGAAGAAGCTGCAGAATAAATTTTAAAGACTTAAAAGTAATTATTTTTTTGACTTTTTGACTTGAAATGCAATTATATTTTCATGTGATCATAATGAATATTCTTTTTAATTATTTTTTTTTTTGCAGAATAAAGAGAAAGAAGAACTAGAAAGATGTATTCAGAAAGTTGAAAGAGAAAAAGACAGCAGCTATTTAATAGTAATTGTATTACTTTATTTTGAAAAAAAAATTTCAAAATAAATTTAATTCTATAAATCATGAAATTTGATAAATTAAGTTATTTAAATAGATAAAAAGTTAAATGAAAAAAATGCTTTGCAGGTGAAGGAAATAGAAGGAAAAGGCCGAGGAGTTGTTGCTGCCAGGTCGTTCTACAGAGGTGAATTCATAGTCGAATATGCTGGAGACCTAATCGAAATTTTAATTGCTAGAGAGCGGGAATCCAAATATAACCTCTCGTCTGCCTTTGGCTGCTACATGTATTATTTTAAGCACAACAACAAAAATTATTGGTTTGTTTTTAATTGTTCTTTAAAATGAATTCTAAATTTTTAACACAATTTTTTGTTTTGAACAATTTTTCTGACATAAAAAATTACTGTAGTTATGTTTTTAAACGTAGATTTAATGTAACTTCTTTTTTAATAGCATCGATGCAACAGCAGAAACAGGTCGATTAGGAAGATTAGTAAATCACAGTCGGATGAAACCAAACTGTAAAACAAAAGTAGTCATGGTTAAAAATGTTCCTCGACTTATCTTGGTTGCAACTAAAACAATAAAAGAGGGCGACGAAATCTTGTACGACTATGGAGATCGTAGTAAAGAATCCATTTTGGCACACCCATGGCTGGCTTTATGATCTTATAATTTTATTTTAAATATAACTCAAAGTCGAAGCGCATACAATGAAATGTGTGGTCATCTGTAAATATAGACTGAACCAATGTTTTTAATTCTTATTTTTCAGAATGCCTAAAATATTGTTAGTTATTATGTTAATAACTTAGACAAAAATTTTTTGCTTAATTTAATTCATCTGTAATGTAATATGATTGATTCAAAAATCTTAATATTTCCACGGTCGTCATCAACAATTTTTTTTACATTTGTTCGCGCCGTTTCAAAATATATTAATCGTTGCAATAATACATGTACCTATCAACATGTTACTCATAATGACGTTTCTTACAACTTGATTGATCGTTTCAGAATCGCTGGCCGGCGCCGATTGGCGCTCCAACGTGTCATGACATTTCAATTTATAAGTTTTAACAACTTATTTCTATCGCTTTTCGGTTGTCCGTTTCGGAGCCGAAACACCGAACGTGTCAGTCGCAATTTTAACTGCAAAATGTTTACAAGTCTGTCGCGTTCCTATATAACACCTATAATAATAAAACGTTGTACGTTTAGCAGTTTGCCGACGCCGGACGCACACGCATCTCGGCCAGGCTATGCACTCATTGCCACAGAAAGAGAAGAAATTAAGTGAAAATAAACGAATTTACAATCACAACTCCCGCTCTTTCTTTTCAACCCATCTACGAGTGTAGACTCGTTAAAGCAAGTAACAGTTAGTGTTGCTCATCGAGCTAAGCGTGTAGGCAAAACAAACTAACTACAAAAGAACCAAATTTGATCTAATATTATAATAATAATAATAATAAATATCATTTATAAAGCGCCAATGCAAGCGACAGAGGCGCCCTCGGAACTAAAAAATTAATAATTGACCATGGTAGTATGAATTCAATAGCAATGACAATAATAAAATCAATAATTAATAATAATAAAAATTGACCATGGTAATCATGGTAATATGAGTTCAGTAGCATTAAAATTGCAATAATAATATAATTAAAAGGTTAATTAGAAGCAACATATAAAAACTATTGTCAATTCAGAGCAAGATTAAAATAATAAGTTTTTAAATTAGATTTAAATCCACAGAGGGAGCTAGATTTTCTAATATTCGGAGGCAAAGAATTCCAAACACTCGCAGCAGCATGACGAAATGTTCTTATCCCAAGATTGGTTGAAGAAATATACTGAAGAAGTATTGGTGCTTTAACAATAGCAACGTGCATTTGTTTTCATTTGTTTATCGTATAAAGATTTCAAAAAAATATCAATACAAAATTAAAATCATCATATCTTTATATTTATGGTAAGTAAAAACTTTATATATATATACAACTATATACTATATATATGTTGGTAATAGACCATAATTTTTACAATATTCTATAAATTCTACCGAATGTTTGGCGTTAATATGTTTGTAGTTCGTTTTTTGATTTTTCTCACTAAAGTTTTTTGGTGAACGTTTAGTTTAATAAAATTCAAAATAAACTTATTTTCCGAATTCAAGCTGCAAATAAGGCCATATTTCGATTCCGAATGAATCATCATCAGTGCGAAATATTTTATATAGGGAAATATTCACTTTGTCAAAGTGAACTTAGATGGAAATTAGGTGTCAAGTTTCTTTATAGGCAGGTCCATCTTCGTTGGTTCGATCGATAGCATCATATTCTTCTTTGTCACTATTTACAATGCTAGTTTTTATTACTTCTTTGTTTCATTGTTGATTAAGCACCGGGTTGGTATATATATATAAGGCCGTATCTAGGGAGGGCTGGGGGTTTAAGTCCCCAGAAATAATTTACATTATTACAATTTTTGTAATAATCATTAATTATGTGTTTATTTTAATGCCTATCCATTAAATTGCCTGGAAAAATACTTGCAAAAAATGCATGGAAGTTCATTTTAATGCCTACTTGTCAAATTACATGTTAAAATATGTGCAAATATAATTGCATGAACGTTATTTCTTACGCACATAACCATGCAAGCATGTTATGCGAGTTCACTTGAATGCCTACAATGTAAAAACTCTTTAAAACAATACCGAAACTATTATATTAACCCTACAAAATTATTAAATAATTGATTATTATTTTTTAAAAACTTTTTTCAGTATTTTACGTTAAAACATTCTATCATACATATCAACATTCTAATAAATAACAGTCTTAATAGCTATTCACTTTTAAACATATTTATGCATTAATCGTCTTCTCGTTTTCACTTTTAAATTTCGATGGCGTTGAGGTTCCAAAGTGAAGTTTTGCCGTGAAATGAACAAATAAGCAAAAAAAAACAATTTATTGAATTATTTAACAAAAATACCAAAATCGTCGTGTTGTGATGAATCGAAAACTGGTTGAAGGAAGATTTTAAACACTGAAAATGAAAAGAATTAAAAATTTTTTGAGAAATAGTTTTAACGAGGAGCGACTCACTTCATTGGCTCTACTATCTATTCATCGGGATATATATATCTATCCAAATGGACAACGACGTTATTTTGCACCATTTATTAATAATTTAAACCAAAAAGCACGTCGCTTAAATTTATATATTTAAAAAAATAATAAAATACAATTTACTTTTGTTTATATAATTTTGTTGGGTTTTTTATTTTGTAAATGTAAATAAAAGCTGATTTGTTTGAATTTGTTGTTTTTTCCTTGATTTTTTTATTTTTAATTATAAAAAAAGCGTTCCGACAGCCCACTCCCGATAAATAATCCTGGCTACGTCCTGTGCTCACACGCACACACAATCACTAAAATTATTGTGATTTTAAACGCGTTCATTATCATTTTATTAGAAAATTATTTATAAATAATCCACACTGTTCTGTAGTTAAAGTATTACAGTAAAGAATGTTATTAAAAAATGTTAACTAAACGCAAAAAATTAAGTTGTTGCAAATAAGGTGATAGAATTTGTCAAAGAAAAGAATTTTTAACCAAAAACTGTTGTTAAATTTTCCGCTTATAATTTATACTTAATATATATTACTTATTTGTAGTGTAGAGGACTTAATATTTCGTTGTTATTATTTATTACAAAATATTATATAATTTTTCATGTTTACGTTTAGCGTGATAGCTGCAGGTTTTCTCGGTGATTTTGTAATTTGGATGGTTTCTTGTTTTTTGCTTCTGAAAAAGGGTCTACAGACATTTGGTCCTGAGACGATTGGTCCATTATTAAAAAGACGATTGGTCCATTATTAAAAAGACGATTGGTCCCGTTTTTTAAGATGATTGGTCCTAAAATAAAAGACCATTGGTCCAAAAAATTTATTTTTCAAATTTTTTTCAATAATCCAAAAAATTTTATATGTAATTTTTAAATATATTAAAACTTTATAATTTATTTTACATGTCCATGTAATAACTAAACAAAGTCGTTGTTAATAGTTTCCGGTTCCTAATTGTTCATTACGGTCTAATTGTTCTATTTTTTTTACTTTTGATTTTCTGCAAAAATGTCCGATTTATGTGTTGTGTACGACAGAACAGTCACTGCAAAACAGCATTCACTAACATGAGATGTTTGTATTAGATGGTGTCATTGAAAATGTGGTACAGGCTACACCACCTACCGATATAGTAAGGCAAGACAAAGTAAGTTATTTAAATGTTTTATAGTTATTCATATTTTTAATTTATGATTTTTCCTTAATTTGTATTAAATGAATTAATAATAAAGCAAATAATTTAAACTGTTATATACATAATGCGGTAAGGTAAGGCAAACCTTAAGGATAGGAGATAGTGTATAAAGATAAGATTGCGATATAAGATATTGTTATAATACTCGCTGTCGTAACCGATTTACGATGCGACGGGCTCAAATCCTCGATAGAATAAAATATTCCAAACAGTTATTAAACTTTATTTACAGAAGAAATCAACTATTATTAGTTATTAAACTTTATTTACAGAAGAAATCAACTAATCGTTTATTTCCAGTAAATTCAAACTAACGCAACAATTAACTTTTTAATCGTTCAAAATCTATAGCTATGACAACGTCAACAAACAAATCAAATATCGCTTTAAATAATTCACCGAATCGCTATTCACAAAATCACGAATTTCACTAATCACGAATATCACTAATCACGAATATCACTAATCACGAATATCACTAATCACTTGCGACGTGCGCTTATATACTCTTCGCAAGCGTCGTTTCTAGATTCTTCTAGATGGTCCGATTCTAGCATACTCCAGAATGCTCCAGTCACTAGAACATACTAGAATACGCTAGAATCTAGTGCGTTCGGTAGCACGGTTATAACAATATAGTATATATAAGAGATAGTAAATGTAAACAATCGATATAGGACAAAAGCTCAATTATTTTCAATTATAAAATAAGAATAAAATAAAACCAAAAAAATTGAATTAGTTAGACTGATATAATATTTTACTTGTTGCATCTTTTCATGTGTCTTGTAAATTTAGAAATAACGATTTCTAATTTAATTTCAAATTTTGATAACAGATGGGAGTGATTTGCCACATATCTGTAGAAAAATATGTCGAAGTAGTAAAAAACCCCGACCATCGACAATCAATTTCATTGTCATCATCCGCAAAAGCAACGTTGAACTCTACCGAGAGGAATAATAGCTGAAGATCCATCAATTTTTCATAAACAAATAATTGCACCATTACCCGTAACAGAAAATCTATCAATTTTTCATGAACAAACAATTGCACCATTACCCATAACAACAGAAAATGTGCAAATTCCACCCATAATTACATTTGAAATTGTTAAACAGGCAACTAAAAGAGGAGGAGATCATTTAGTTTCCAGTGATGGGCACAATTTAACAGTTAAAAGCAAAACAAAGATAAGAAAGACCACTTATAAAGGTTGTAAAGGTATGGTTATTCAACATGACGATAACTTTTCCATAAAAAAAAGAACACACCTGTCGAGCAATAGCTGAGGCTACTGGCCTTGCTAAAATTTGTGCAAAGTCTTACCAGGCTGCTATGGAGCAACCTTTCACTTCAGCGCTAGATATTGTTAATAAGGTTCATTTTATCTGTTACAGTTTAATAATAAAAAAGCCTTAATTTAATTTATATTAATTAAACAGGCCACTAGAGAGATTGTTTTGATGGAACATTCAGCGTTAGTTTTCAATATTATTTGATACTTATTGAAATATATTCACACAAAAATTATTTATTTGTTTTTGTTTTTAGGTTGTAAAAAAACCTTTTTCCAACTCTATACTATACATGTTTTCATAAAACATAATGATAGATATGTACAAATCCCTACTTTATTTTGCTTAATGAGCGGAAAAGCACAAAAGATTAGGAATATATATTCGAATGGATTGTTGGAACAGGAAACTTGAACGTGAAGTCAGTCACACGTGAGGAATATAGTTTTTTTTATATTTAAAAACAATTTAAATATTTTAATACACATGGATTCGCTTAATTTGTTAAGGCGATTTTGAGCAAGCTGTCTGATTGCTGCAACAAACATCTTGCAGGTATCGATTCATGGATGCCTGTTCCACTGGACGTAAGCTGTTTTCAGAAAATATAGGTAAATTTTGAATAATTATAACTAGTAATTTAATTTTAAAAATTCAACTATTAATTATTATAACACAATATATCAACGTTTACAATTTTAAATAGGAACTAGGCTTACAAAAAGAGTACAATGAAAAAAAAGAATGCAAGTTATTATTGGCATTGCCATTTTGTCATCGGAATGGATACCTAGGATGTTTGAACAGATAGCAGTTAATGAGGAAAATGAGAAATTGAAAGAACTTAATCAATACATTAAAAAAACGTGGATGAATGGGAAATTGTTTACGCCCAAAACGTGATCGGTCTTCAAAAGGAAATATAGAACAAATAACAATGTTAAAGGTTGGCACAACCGCATCAATAAAAATGTACCAATCAACGGTTACAACTTTTTCCAGCTGATTAATATATTGCATGATTAGGCCATTAAAATAATTTTTGAAAAACATTATATGGTAAATGATATAGTTATAAACAAAAAAACGGAAAAATCAATTAAGACATAATCAACAAATTCAGGATATGTGGACATCATTCGACAATGGACAAATTAGTGTGAAAGACATGTTGAACCAAGTTTCAAATTTTAATAACATTGATAAGTTATTGTAATTAGTATTTTTTATTATAAAATTTTAAATATAAAACGCCATTTTAATTCATTTGTTTTTCTAAATTAATTGTTTTTCTTTTATTTCAATTAACAGTCTTATTTGTTAATTAATCAATGTATTTAGTAAAGCGCTATTTCCGAATGAACCTTACAAACAGTCGGGTCTTGAGATTCGCTCTGAACGTCGCGAGTGATGGAGAATCAATCAATCAATCAATCAATCAATCAATCAATCAATCAATCAATCAATCAATCAATCAATCAATCAATCAATCAATCAATCAATCAATCAATCAATCAATCAATCAATCAATCAATCAATCAATCAATCAATCAATCAATCAATCGATTTTTGCTATAGCGCCATTTCCGCGATGTTCATCAGCGCTTTTCAACACAAACAGCATATATGAATACGTGCTAAACGACGTATCACATAAAGCATTTATAGGCGGGGATTCTTTCGTCATATTTGAACCCGGTCACTGCGAAACAGGACCAGACGTGTTTAACCACTAAGCCATCACGCTGCCCTAAGTAGTTAGAGATTGAAGAAAAGAATCCCAAAGAGAAGGACCAAAAAAAGCAATAGCAGATTTGGCCTAAGAGTGTTTAACAGGAGTTAAGAAAGTGAGAACAAGAAGACGATCTAGACCAGGGCGCTTACATTATCTGATAGATACTTAGACTGAGACTTATAAATTAAAGTGCAAATTTAAAAAATTCTTCATTTGATAGATAGCCAGTGCAAAAGAGTAAAATATGGAGATACATAAAAATAAATAGAGACACGAGCAGCAGAGTTAAAAGCTTTAGTTTAAGGGTATAGAGTAGGACCAGAATGACCTTAGTAGAGCGAATTACAATAATCAATTTTAGCAGTAACAATGTTGATAGAAGTTCTTATTTTCATCTACGTACAATAAATCACTTATGCCTTTTCTTGATGATTCTACTTTTTTCTTGTTTCTTTTTTAGTTACCTCTAGGATTGATTATTGTAATTCGCTCTACTATGGTCATTCTGATTCTACTCTATATCCTTTAACTAAAGCTTTTAACTCTGCTGCTTGTCTAGTTGCTCATGTCTATTTTTTTCATATATCTCCATATCTTACTCTTTTGCACTGGCTACCTATAAAGTAAAGAATTATTTTTAAAATTTGCACTTTAATGTGTAAGTCTCAATCTAAGTTATTTCTTAAGTATTTATCAGATATTTTAATTAAACCTAAACGCCCTGGTCTACGATCGTCTTTTTTTTCTTACTTTTTCTTAGCTCATGTTAAACACTCTTATGCTAAATCTGCTTTTGCTTTCCCTGGTCGTTTTCTTTGGAATTTTCTTCCTCGATCTTTAACTACTTCTCCATCACTTATGAAGTTCAGAGCAAATTTCAAAATCGATTTGTTTGTAAGATTCATCGAGAAACACTGTTGAACATTGCGGAAATGGCACTTTAGCGAATGAATTGATTTATTGATTGTTAATCTGAGAAGAAACATGCTAGAATTAAGAATATACCCTGTGCTACGAAACTTGTTAAAAACTTAAAAATTTGTGAATTAGGTATGATAATAGAAGAAATGGTGTTTAGAATTATTAAAGCATATTACATGATAATTGTGAAGATTGAGAATAGGATAAAATATTAAAGAAAATACTTCAAGTAGGCTAGTAAGTTTATGACATTTAGTAAAATTTTCTTCAACTTTTTTTATTTATTTCCTGTTGGAATGTTAGTATAGTCAAAAAAGATGTTCAAAACATCTTATTTACGTCATTGAAGTTTTAGGACCAATCGTCCAAATTTTTAGGACCAATCGCCTTTTAGGACCAATCGTCCTAGAAATCAGGACCAATCGTCTTAAAAAGCAGGACCAATCGCCGCGGGATCGAACGTTACTGATAAAGTGAGTTCTCTTCTTTTTTACTATGATTATTTTTTTCTATATCTTTTTATATAACTTGTAAATATTATTATGTCTTATACTTATTCTTATTCTAGAAACTTTCTCTTAAGCCTCTTTAACACTCCTTTTATCACCGACGAGAGTAGTTCAGCGGCGAATTTTTTACTTTAATTTTAGGGCTAATAATAAATAATAAGTGCAATAAATCTAACTCTAATACGTCTAACAAAAAAATAAATATAGTTAGTAACAATAATTATTATAATTATAATACTAATAGCAAGTATAATAAATTTAATAAATCCTACACTAATGTAATTAATACTAATGATAGGAATAATAATTTTATTAATTTAAAATAATATAACTAGATTTAAAAGTGCCAATATCCAACCTACCTTTACATTTTCACTATTTAATATTAACATAAGATAAGATCAATTAACAAAAAATCACTCTGCTTTCAGCAAATAATCTCTTCCTCCTTAACTGGTTTTTTTAGTCTTGCTGAAACTTGGCACGAGGACTCTAACTCTCTCTCTCTTATTCTTGCCACTCCTGATGGTTACAGCTTTTTTGAACTCTCAAGACCTCCAAAAAATCTCTTATCTTCTCATTCTTCTTATGTCTGTCTATTCTAAATCTTTATTTACTGCTTCCATTAATACCTCTTTTAATTTATTTTCTTTTGAATGTCTTGTTGTATTTCTTAAGTCTTCTTCTCTATCTTTTTATATTGCTGTAAGTGTAATTTATTGACCTCCTTTTTCTTGTCTCTCTGTCTATATTTATAGATGAATTTTACTTACTCGCAGAATTTCTCTACTCTTTTTCTATTCCTTTTTATATTTCTGGTAACTTTAACTTGCATTTCAGTAACTTATCTTGTTCTTACACTCGTAGATTTAATGATATTTTGTCTTTTATTAACTTAACACAATATTGTTCTTTTCCTACTCAAACTTTTGGTAACACTATTTATTTTATTATAGCTTCATCTTTTTCTAAGCCTATTAATATCTCTGCTAGTTCTGTTCATTATTCTGATCATCCCCTTTATGAATCTGTATTTTCTTTAGATTTTCTTCCTTCTAATTCATCTATGTCTATTTAAAAAGATGCTGGTCTTCTCTTAATAAAGATATTTTTTTTAATCTCTAACTGAAAATATTTTTGATACTTACTTTTTTTTGTTGATGATTCTGTCTATGCTTTTAATATCTACATTACTTCAATTCTTGATAAGCTTATTCTTCTTAAATCTTTTACTTATAGGCTCTATACTCGTAAGGTTCCTTGGTTCGACTATGCTTATGTATTAGCTAAGAAAAATGTTAAAAGACTGGAGAAAGCCTATAGGTTAAATAGGTCTAACTCTCTTTATTCTATCTGTGAATCGAAATTAATGAACTATAAATATCTACTATTCTCTAAACACTCTACTTTTTTTAAAAATTCTATAAAATCTGCTTCAACTTCTAAAAATAGGTTGTCTGTTCTATCTAAACTTTTTCATAAGAAATCCTCTCACTCATCTTTTTCTGCTCAACAGTTTCGTGACTTTTTTGTAAATAAAATTAATTCTTTAATAACATCTAATTCTAATTTTTCTCCTCATAACTTTACTAAACTTACTACTGAATCTTTTTCTGTATTTATTCCAGTAATTCTTCTAGAACTTACTAATATTATTAATTCTGTGTCATCTACAACTTGTTCTCTTGATCTACTTCCTTCCAATTTACTTAAAGATTTTTCTTTAATATTTTATCCTATCATTCTCAAATTATTTAATTTATCTCTTTCCACCTCTAAATGTCCTACTTCTTATAAGGATTCTGTTGTTATTCCTATTCTTAAAAACTCATTTTCAGATCCTTCCTCTTTATCTAATTATAGACCTGTTACTAATATTACTTTCAATTACTAAAATAATAGAAAAAAGTAGTTTATAACCAATTATTTTATTTAATTTCTAACTCCTTGCTACCTGTATCACAATCTGGTTTCAAATCTGCTCACAGTACTAAAACTTCTTTACTCAAAATACATAACGATTTCCTTTTCTCTAGTGACAATAGTAACCTTATTTTTCTTTTTGCTTTTGAATTTTTCACTACCATTGATACTGTTGATCATACAATTCTTTTGAGGCTGCTAGGCGATTTTTTTATTATTACTAATTAGTCCCTCTTGGTTTTCTTTCTATCTCTGTAATCGTTTTTCTTTTGTTGTTCTTAATAATTCTACTTCTAACTCTTCTACCCTTACTTTGGGGTACCTCAGGGTTCTATCCTTGGCCCTCTTCTATTTATACTCTATACATCTAAACTGCCTCGTATTATTAAAAAAATGAAATATGAAAGTTAAAAGCTGGCCCTCTTCTATTTATACTCTATACATCTAAACTGCCTCGTATTATTAAAAAAATGAAATATGAAAGTTAAAAGCTAGAGCCTGGTTCATTTTTATTTAAAATGTTATACCCACAAAATTAACATAAAAAAATAAAAATAATATTAATAAAAATGATTATTATTATTATTATATTATTATTTTAGTGACATTTTACTCATAACATTTTTAATGTTAATTGCTGAAGAATTAAATGATTAAGACCAAAACCCAACTTTTCATATTATCAATATATTATTATTTTATAAGAAAACTTTTTCGTTATTACATTTTTCAAAACGTAACTTTTCAAACCAATTTTTCATAAAATGGAATAAATGCAATGAAAATTTTTTTTCAAATAGTTTATCCAGTGAGTGACATAAATCGCTTTCATTTTCATATCATTTAACCTGGAAATATTAAAAATCAAACACAATTCAATTCAATGTAATTTAAAATGTTACATTTGAAAACCACCTGAAACGTACGGAGCACACGTTTTGCAGCAGGAATTAATGTAGTCTTTGCAATAGGCTTTTCTAGTTTTTTCAGTTTTCATATAATCATTGCACCATTGGGCATGCTTATCTTGAGTGCATGTCTCTTTGGGGGCTTGCCATAGTGGGTTGGTGTTTTTGTTGTGCACTGAGGTGTCAGGTCTGCGTGTTGTTGCATGGTTGTCTGTACATTTCCATGGTACATTTATTTTACAAAATTATCTTGTTTAGGGTAAATTTTTTAAATTTTGATATTGAAAATTATTCATTTGAAAATTTAGTTCATTTAATATGAATGGTTAAAATTTCAAAAACCACCTGTCACATATGGAGCGAACGTTTTACAGCAGTCGTACAAGAATTCATTACAATTTTCTTTTCTACTTTTCTCATCTTTTAGAATATTTATACAAAGCTGATCCTTCATACCTCGAATGCATCAATTTTCGGGAAGTTGGATGTTTGGTGGTGAGTTGTCTGGTTTGCGAGTTGTCTCGTTTTCTGTACATTTTCATGAAAAATTCGGAATATATTCCATTACATTCAGTACCATAAGATTTTTTTATATTTAACATTTATTTTATTTAAAATTAATCCTAAGTTTTATTAAAATTAGAAATATGCTACCGAGAAATTACAAAAAAATATTAGCTTTGCAGTGAAAAAAAACAACAGATAATAATCCTACTCAACCAGACCTTTGAAATCAGGCTTGATGGAGTTGCTGACACATTTTTCATTCAGGCACCACACGGCAAATAATTTTCTCCGAAAAATCACCTGTCTAATTTGTGAGCATAATTCTGGAAATACTCCATGGAGCAAGGAGAAAATGTGTGGTGGTTATTTCTGCCGAATGAATTGTACCTGGCGGNCATGATGTACCTATACCTGGCAGGACACGTATTTCCTTTCTCTTCGTCGTAAGGTGCACCCAGACTGTTGGAAACATTTGTTTTCGATTTTGAAACTGATTCTAGCAAGCAAACTATTTTATATTTTAAAGAACGTAATTTGATTTTTCAGTTTCCTTTAGAAAATAGTTACAAATTAGAAATGATGTTTTGAAGTACGGACAAAGTTTTAAATAATATTTTTTCTATTGGTAATTACTCAGTGAGAAAACATAACAAAAACATTTTTAAATGTAAGATCCATTATCAAATTAACCGCAAATGACTACTACGTGTACATCAAAACACGTTAATTAACACATCACACATTTTTAATGATATTCGGGGATCTCTATGCAGCAACTCAGAACTAGGCTATATTATTTAGAAACACTTACATATGTCCAATCTCATGTGCAGCCACTTGGATAGTATCTTCTTGTCCCCTGTCGATCACCACACCCACTGCCTTTGTTGTGCAAGCTGTCCCAAGTTGGGCCACGCCCAAAACATTTACTGAGCGGTAGCTGGTGTGAAATTTGTTATCAATGATTCATTTTTTAAATTATTATTTTGATGAATTTCTATAGGCTTTCTTGTACCGGAGAGCGTGACCAACAAAATGGCGTCGACAAAATGGCTTAGACAAAATAGCGTCGACAAAATGGCGCAAAAATATTTTTTAAAAATTGATAATTTTAAGATCATTGAAACCATCCACCCTGGCATAAGCGCCGACTTTAGAAGGATGGAGCCGGTCTATCTAATTTTCTTCTACATTTGTTCACATTTGCTGAATAATTTCATTCAGTTTTATTTACATTTTGCTCAAACCGTTGTGCCATTTCAAACATAAATATTGAATAAATATTTTATTATGATTTTATTTATTATTCACTTATTATTCACTAACATTCGCTGGCATATTTTGATAAAGATGCCAGGGTGGATGGATAACTTTATTATCATTATTTTACTATTATTTTAAATAAAAATTTCAGATAATTTTCTCCCGGTTCAAAATATCTCCATGGAAGCGCGGTTCATTTGATATATATTTTCAAAGCGTTTGTGGATTTATTTTCAAAACATTCCAAAGATAAGTATATTAATTGTTTTAGCTTTTTATTCTTGTTTTTGGAGCTGAATAATTTCTGAATTTTGTTTACAAACACTAAAATCAGAAAAATGCAAACATCACAAATACAAAGTTGTTAATAATGGCTCAATTTTTTGGCCAATCTGTGTGGAAACTTTCGGTCTCGGTCACAAAGAGTTTTTCTTGGAGCAACTCGGCACAAAAATTGTTTAAGTAACTGGCGACCCTAACGATAAAATATACATGCCTCAAAATATTTCATTTTTACTGAAATGGTTTAATTCATTTTACCTTTTAGAAATTATTTTTTAATGACCTCAAAACCTATATTATTTGACGAGTCGGATTGAAATGATACCAACCAATAACTTTTCATAAATACAATGTGACTGTGACAAATACATTACGATGTATTTGTTCCACATGTCAAAAAGCTATTTCTACATCGAACTGCAGTTTTGCTCCAAAAAAGCGTTTCATTGAAACAGGTTTTAATAATTGGAAAAAGGGGATCGAAAATTCCAACAGCGTGAAAAATCTATGTGCTAAAATTAATAGAAATGCATGCCTTGAAATGGGACATCATAACGAGGAAAGGTGGGGAAAGGACCTACACCCAACTTGTCAGACTCATTATCATTGATGAGATCCATCTCCTGCACGATGATCGCGGTCCAGTCATCGAAGCTCTAGTAGCTAGAACGATCAGAAACTGTGAAACGATGCAAGAAGAAGTGCGTGTCGTTGGCTTAAGTGCCACACTGCCAAACTACAAAGATGTTGCAAAGTTCTTGAGGGTGCCCGATCATGCCCTATTCCATTTCGACAACTCATACAGACCCGTGCCTCTGGAGCAACAATACATTGGCATCATGGAGAAGAAGGCAGTCAAGAGGTTCCAGATCATGAATAATATTGTGTACGATCAGGTCATGCAACATGCTGGAAAAAACCAGGTCTTGGTGTTTGTCCATTCAAGAAAGGAAACTGGCAAGACAGCACGAGCCATCAGGGACATGTGTCTGGAGAATGATTTACTTGGTCAGTTCCTCAAGGAGAGCAGTGCTTCCACTGAGGTGCTCAGAAGAGATGCTCAGGACGTTAATAACCACGAACTGAAAGACCTGATGCCTTACGGATTTGCTATTCATCACGCTGGCATGACTCGAGTCGACAGGTCCTTGGTTGAAGATCTCTTTGCAGACAGACACATCCAGGTCCTCGTTTCCACATCAACCCTGGCATGGGGTGTCAATCTTCCAGCACACACCGTCATCATAAAGGGCACGCAGGTTTATACAAAAGGAAAGGGCATATTGATCACCAATCACACAGAACTTCAATCTTATTTGTCCCTCATGAACCACCAATTGCCCATCGAGTCACAGTTCATCTCAAAGTTACTCGATAACCTGAATGCTGAGATTGTGTTGGGCACTGTTCAGAACGCTAAGGATGCTGTTAAATTGCTAGGATACACATATCTGCACATTCGAATGATTCATAGTCCGGCCCTGTACAGTGTACCAGTTGACAGTGATTTTCTATTGGAAGGCTATAGGTCAGATCTAATACACACAGCTGCCTCCCTTCTTGATAAACACAACCTAATCAGATATGATAAGAAGGCCGGTCATTTTCAGGTCACAGAATTAGGTCGCATAGCCAGCTACTACTACATTTCTCATGAGACGATTGCAACGTATAACCAGCAGCTGAAGCCGATGCTGAGTGAGATTGAGCTGTTCAGAGTGTTCTCCCTGTCAGCTGAGTTCAAGCACATAACTGTCAGAGATGAAGAGAAATTGGAGCTTTCAAAATTATTAGAACGTGTGCCAATACCCATCAAAGAAAGCATCGAAGAACCAAGTGCAAAAGTCAACGTGCCTACATCTCCAAACTCAAACTCGATGGGTTCGCTCTCGTTTCTGACATGGTCTTTGTCACCCAATCAGCTTCGAGGTTGATGAGGGCCATTTATGAAATTGTTCTACACAGAGAATGGGCCCAACTGACTGATAAGGCGTTGGTCCTTTGCAAGAGGATTAACAGGAGAATGTGGCAATCAATGAGTCTTCTGAGACAGTTCAAGAAAATGCCCGAAGATGTGATTAAGAAATTAGAAAAGAAGAACTTCCCATGGGAAAGATTCTACGATTTGAACCCGCACGAGATAGGGGAACTAATAAGGATGCCTAAAATAGGTAAAACCGTCCACAAGTACATCCTGCAGCTGCCCAAGTTGGACCTGTCTGTTCACGTGCAACCAATCACGAGGTCCATGTTGAGAGTGGAGCTGACCGTCACTCCGGACTTTAAGTGGGATGATAAGGTGCATGATCAGTCGGAAGCTTTCTGGATCATTGTTGAGGATGTTGATGGCCAACTTATTCTTCATCACGAGTACTTCCTCTTGAAAGCAAAGTTCTGTACAGATGAACACCTGATAAAGTTCTTTGTTCCAGTTTTTGAACCTCTCCCGCCACAATACTTCATCAAAGTTGTATCCGACAGATAGATCGGCAGTGAAACGAAGCTTCCAGTATCCTTTCATCATCTCATCCTACCCGAGAAGTACCCGCCACCAACTGAACTTCTTGACCTTCAACCTCTGCCCGTCTCTGCTCTAAGAAATCGAAGCTTTGAGGCGCTCTACCAAGACCAGTTCAAGTTTTTTAACCCCATCCAAACTCAAGTTTTCAATGCCCTGTACAACAGCAATGACAACGTGTTTGTCGGGGCTCCAACAGGAAGTGGAAAGACGATCTGCACCGAGTTTGCAATTTTGAGGATGTTCACACAAGATCCTAACAACAAATGCGTCTATGTTATTTCCATTGAAGCTCTTGCTCAGCTGGTCTATCAGGGATGGTTGCAGAAGTTTGGCAAGCAACTGGGCAAGAAGGTCGTTTTCCTGACAGGGGATATGGCTACTGATTTGAAATTGTTTGCCAAGGGACATATCGTAATCGGCACTCCAGAGAGATGGGATGTGCTACCGAGGAGGTGGAAGCAGAGACCGCCATCTAAAACACCAGCCTGTTCGCTGTCGATGAATTACATCTTGTCGGTGGAAATGATGGGCCGGCATTTGAGGTTGCAGTTTCGAGGATGAGGTTCATTTCGACGCAAATTGAAAACTCCACTTGGACTCTTGCAGATGAGTGAGCTGGAGAAGGCAGACGTGGCTCGCTTCTGCAACAGATATCCCAACATTGAACTGACCTACTACATCATCGACAAGGAAAACATTGCTAGTGGATCAACGGTGAAAGTGGAGGTAACCCTTGAAAGAGAAGACGAATTTGCCGGCTCCATTATTGCGCCATTCTTTCCACAGAAACGTGAGGAGGGATGGTGGCTGGTCGTCGGCGACACCAATTCAGAAAACTTGGTGGCCCTCAAGTGGTTCTCCCTGCAACAGAAAGTCAACAAGGATTTATACTTTGTGGCACCGCATCCAGGCAAACACACCTACACACTCTACTTCATGAGTGATGCCTACATGGGATGTGACCAAGGGTACAAGTTCACGATCGACGTTAAAGACTAGAGAATGGACAGTGATTAATTAATTAATTAATTTTGTTAAACAATTATTTTACGGAGTACAGTCCTTTTAATGTATGATCGGAATTTTAAACTAAAACACATAAACACACACATACACATATAAACAAACATACAAATACAAACTTATTATATGTTTACATATGTTTGACTTTTTTTTATACTAAAACACATGCACACATGCACATACACAACACATACAAATACAAACTTGATATGTTTGTATATGTAAGCTTAATGCAATTTATTTTAACTCACGCCGTTTATGTTTCCACGGTCGTCATCAACAATTGTTTCAAGATATTAATCGTTGCAATGAAACACGTGTACGTTCCTCGTCATGATCTTTTTTATATTAAAAAACACACACAAATACAAACTTATAAAAAGTTTATCTTAAAACAAACACACACAAACATATTAATACAAACTTATAACCTTGAAAATAAACGAATATTCGAAGTTATGTTTGTGTTGCTCATCGAGCTAAACGTGTAGGCAAAACTAACAACAAAAGAACGAAATGTGATCTAACAATAGACATTTGTTTTCGTTTGTTTATCGTATAAAGATTTCAATACAAAATTGAAATCATCATATTTTTTATGTTTACTGTAAGTAAAAACAACTGTATAAAAATATAAATAAAAATATACCTATATGTAATACAAAATTGAAATCATCATATTTTTTATGTTTACGGTAAGTAACAACAACTGTATAAAGATATGAAATAAAAATATACTTATATGTACACACACACAGACGTACGCACGCACGCACATCTCACACACACGCACAATCTATGTTTTATATATACGTCACTAAAATTATTATGGATTTTAAACGCGTTCATTATTATTTTATTCGAAAATTATTTATAAATGATTCACACTGTTCTAAAGTTAAAATATTACAGCAAAGAATGTTATTAAAAAGTGTTAACTAAACGCAAAAAATTAAGTTGTTGCGAATAAGGTGATAAAATTTAAAAAAAAATTAATTTTTAACCTACAACTTTTGTGAAATTTTCCGCTTATATACCTAATAAATATTACGTATTTCCAGAGGACTTAATATTTCATCGTTATTATTTATTAACAAATCATAAATTTTATATCTATGTTTGAATTTAATTAATACTTCTTTGCTTTACCTTACTCTTATTCTTTTATTTCCGTTTACATTAGATAGTTACAGATACTGTTGGTTTTGTTTAATTTAATAAAATTATTTCTGCAGGTCGTAAATTGTCTAATTTGTACTAGTTAGACAACAAAGGCGAAACGCTAATAAATCGAACATTCCTCAACATAATCTCCAACTTATTCCTACCAGCAAACGAAGTGAGCCTCAATACACACAAAGAAACAAACATAGAATTAGAATTAAAAATAAAATTTTAACAGACATGATTGCAAATGAAACACGTGCGGGATCCATGAACAAGTGCTGTACCAGTATGTACGTATGTGTGTGTTTTATACATATATATTATACATATATATTATATATGTGTTTTATATATATATTATATATATATATTTTAAATGGATTTATTATATTTTTATTTTAAATATATGTTTGTGTGTGTGTAGACGTATAAACATATATATATATATGGTCAGTACTATAAAGCGTGCGGAATCGCACGGCGAATACGCCACTTGAAATTACAAATCGTGAGGCACCCGCACGTCGAATTCGACGTTGAGATGCTATAAGGCGAGCGAATCACCAGTGGGCTAATACGACGTTTAGATAAGACGGTGAAAAGCGTGAGATTCACACGAAAAATTCGTCGTTGAGAAGTCTGTACAACAAAGTTTGACGATACAGGACGAAGTCAAAATGCAAAATTTATTAAGACAATATAAAGCATTTTTGTTACAGAATGACAATTTTGAAAATAAAAATTCATTGCATCAAGTGTCAGATAGTAACACACACAGACAAACACACATATTTACACAGTAATGCACACGGGTACATTGTTCGTGTGTTAAGACGAAACAGTTACTAAAAGACCCAAGATTGTTATATCAACACTGTCGACAAAACCACGTCCCTTTCGGTAGCTTTTTCATTTCAACACATGAACAGTGATACCAGTATATGCAGCCATCACACTGCACCCACGAAGTACGAGTTTGGTTGTCTCTTCCAGAGTAAGGTCCATAAACAACACAAACGTACAAATTTTGTCCAATTGACCACATCTTATTTTCTAATTTTGTCCAAGCTTCATTGGAAAAATATTGTTTCAAGGTGGACATATTAGCACGGTCATCTGTGCATCTTGGATCAATTATTTCTTTAACGTCGTTAATTGATGCTATGCAATCCGTCTGAACACAGTTTTTGGTTGTTTATTTTTAGATAAAACCCATAAAAGTCTGAGTTGATCTTGCGCAGACGGACGCAACTTTTCAAACGTAAGTTTGCGTTGTTGAAACAGTTGTTGTTTCCTTTTTGCTGGACGTCCTTTGCGCTTGATAGCAACATGATACAAAATGTTTGAATTGGCAACTTGCCCATTTTCTTCTGGCGCACTAACCTGTAAGTTATCAGCAATATCATCTTCTATGATTTGGTTGACTGCCACTGGCCACATGATCTGCAACATCCTCCTGTTCACTGCTGCTTGATACGTCAGCTTCAACAGCCTGGTAAAATTTTAATATCGTAATTTTTTAATTTAATTAATTATTATTATGTCATATATTTTTAACTTTTATACTTGCATATTGTTTTTTGACATTGTGATATACAATGTACTGTTGCAGACTAATTGGATTTGTTAGTGTGTTTTGTAATGTACTTTTTTGACTATCAATCTATAAAGTAAATTGAAAAAACAAACTAGCCAACCTCAATCTCAACAACTGAAGGGGTGTCTTGAAAAAAAGGACTTTTTCCCATGACCCATCTTTTACCTTAGCCTCGACATCCTTCAACCAGGCCAACGCGTTTAAAAATTTTCTTTCTGGCAACTCTGAAAGTACAAATGCAATTACACCTTTTTTGGTGTGTGTTCAATTGTGTTGTTCCTTTGAAAACATCTTTGTCTATCACTGATGTATTCTTTTGCTGCTCAGAAATTTCTGACAGCCATTTGTCATCACTCTCCAAATATAGATTTTCTTTGTTACTCTTCAATGTAGCTAAATAGTGACGACACGGCAGTCTATATTGGATTACAAATGAACAGTTGCAGGGTAGATGCAACACTTGCTCTTCTATAAATTTTGCTTTTTTAAATTCTCTATATACCAACTCAAAAGCAAGTTTCGATAGCATTTTATAATAGCCATTTAAGCAGTTTGGCAAACCAGATTGTGTTTTCGTCATTCTGTTGGATACAGTGTGTGATATTGCTGATGTTTGCACTTTTGCCAACTGTAATAGCTAGCGAATCAATGAAGGAATAGAGCTCTGAGAAGTTTTTATTACAGACTTGATGCTGTTGTTCATTTTCCTAGCACGTGCATATGCTGCAAACATATCTGGTCTATTAAGCCAGTTTGTTGCAAGATAAGAGTAAAATTCTGGATAATTTTTTTCAATTTCTAGTACATCAGTGTCAAATTTTTCTTTGACAGGACAATACACCAGATGCTCCAGCAACTTAAAAAATAGTATAAAGTAGTAAAATTTACTTTGCAGTTTCATCTATTTTATAATCATCACAAATTAAATTAACTACTTTATACAAATGTTGATTATTATTTACTCCCTGTTTTTTCATTTCTTCTATAAATGCCTTCAGCGTATGAAATCGACAAAGATGCACATCAACATTAGGATATACATTGTTGATTGAATTTATTTCAGCATACTCTTTGTCAACAATGAAGATACATTCATTGCTGACTCCTGCCAAAAAAATAAAAAGAGATAATGCTTTTCCAAAATAATGAACATAGGTAAATATTCAACTTTACCTGTTAATTCTTTTTTAATAAAATTTAAAAAAAATGTTATGTGCTCTTCATCTTCTCGAGCAGGCAAGGCATGTGCTATTGGCTGTCTGATGCTCAGGATCAACAATAGCCAGAGTATACCGGGGCATGCCATACTTATTGATTTTGTATGTTCCATCCATAAGAACCACTTCCCCATGTTTTTGTGCCAACTGTTTTTGAACATCTGTGCAAAAAGAAACACAAGTGATTGTCCCATTCTCGTCAACTAAGATTTCACTTGTAACACCAGGCAATCCAAGCGCGGCCGTCAGCTCCTCTTCTGGGGTTCTAGTGAACCTGGCATTATGAAATATAATCTCAAATGCAATGGAATTCATGTTAAAATATATAATGAATAACGTTGTTTTTTGCTTCAAATTAATACATCTTTTCTTGCTACAAGAAAATTTAATTGATGTAGGAAATTTGTTACAAGTGTTGGGTTGGCACTAGAATCCAACATTTTTAGCCTGCTCCAAAGCAGCTCTTGCAGGGCGTCGTTTATCTGCATACAGATGTACCAACATCATGGTTGTGCTCCAAAGATATCTTCTTAATAATAAACTCCTAAAATGTTTAAGCAGCCGTCACAAAATTTGCTATAAAAATTTACCATTTCATTATTAGATATTTCAATTTTTTTAAATATTATTTTCACCATTAATAAACAAACTTTAATTACCATTAATCATTATTAAAAATTTCATTTTAATTTTTTAAAGTATTATTATCACTAGCAACATACAACAATAAACAAAATATTATTATCACTATTGTCTAATCATTATTTAATATTTCAATTTAATTTTTATTACTACCTTCCGAGTTTTGCAGTATGCCACATAAACTTCTGCAATGCAAACACACAACAAGGATGTCTGGTTAGGTCGTGTCCCAGTTTTTTTCAAATTTGCAGACGGTTTAACATTTCCATAGTGCTTACAGACCCACCTAATGCAATAACCATTGTCAAATGTACAAAATTAATATTGTATAAAAATTTAAAATATTCATAAAAATTGAACTTAAGGTTTGAAAATATTTTATAAATATAAAAACAACCTCTGACTCTATTGCATATCTGGGTCAAGATCAACAATTTTGGCGCTTTCCAGAATACATTTTTTGTTAAAATTTTTAACTTTTTCTTTAGTGTCACGCTTCATTGCATGGTAGTTTTCTTTAAAAAAAACTTTCTATCACATCAACGGCTTTTTCACAAATCCATCTCCTAACTTTAATGACTCGGAACTCATTTTTTCAAATTAGAGTTATAAAATAACAAATTTAATTTTATTTATTTAAATTAAATTAGATCAAACAAAGCAAAAATCAAGCGAATCTTCAAAAGCCTCGCCGCTCACAACTAAAGGAAATAGGAAAATGAACTCTAGGGATTAAGTTATCATCAATAAAAATTTCAAAATTTATCAGGTTAGTAACAATAGATGGACCAAACAAAATACATTTGGTCTTTGATAAATTTATCTTCAATTGATTGAATTTCATCCATGAAGAAATTCTAACTAATTCCTCATTTAACGCTTGAGTTAACTTGATTATGGATTTACCATTCAACAAAATCGTTGTATCATCTGCATATAATATGAATTTTAAGCGTGATGATGAATTCGTTAGATCATTTAAAAGAATGTTAAATAAAAGTGGTCCCAAAATGGAACCTTGTGGAACACCACATTTGATGGAACAAAGCGATGAAACGGAATCACCCATTGAAACATATTGTGTTCTGTTACTTAAGTAACTTACAAACCATTCATAAGTGGAACCTCTAATACCAACATTAAGAAGTTTCTTTAACAATAAGTCATGTATTACAGTATCAAACGCTTTAGATATGTCCACAAACACTCCAATAGCCAAATCCTTAGATTCAATACTATTCAAAACATTGATTTAAATCCAATATAACTAATTCGGTAGAACAATTTTTAAGGAAACCATATTGTCTATCACTAATTAAATTATAATTATCTAAAAAACTGGATAAACGATGATGGACAACTTTTTCCATAATTTTAGAAAAAATAGAGTTTATGGATATAGGTCTATAATTATTTATTAATACACGAGAACCAGATTTATATAAGGGGTGACGTCTTCACACAATTTGGAAAAATACCCTTCTGCAAAGATAGGTTTATACAATGAGTTAAAGGTTTAGGAATTGATAATATCGTTTGTTTAACCAAGAAATTTGAGGAATAATCGTCAGCCTGTAAGTGAGAATTACTAAGCCCTTTCACAATCCGTTGTATTTCAATTTCTAAAACCTCAGGCATGAAAAATATATGAGGATTTGAATGTGGCAAAAACGTGTATATCTCGTCAGGACCTACATTATTAAGAACAGAGTTAAAATGAGAAGTAAAAAATTTATAAATTCATTAAAGGATTGACAAATTTCTGTTTTGTCATCAATTATTTTATCATCAACTTTAATTAAATTAGGAAATTTAATTAAATTTGTTTTATTAATGGATTTATTAATTAAAGACCAAAAATATAAATAAAAATATACCTATATGTAATACAAAATTAAAATCATCATATTTTCTATGTTTACGCTAAGTAACAACAACTGTATAAAAATATAAATAAAAATATACTTATATGTACACATACAAGCGCGCGCGCACGCACGCACAATCTATATTTTATATATACGTCACTAAAATTATTGTGATTTTAAACGCGTTCACTATCATTTTATTAGAAAATTATTTATAAATGATCCACACTGTTTTGAAGTTAGAGTATTACAGTAAAGAATATTATTAAAAAATGTTAACTAAACGCAAAAAATTAAGTTGTGTAAATTAGGTGATAATTTAAAAAAAATAAAATAATTTTGTGAAATTTTTCGCTTATATACCTAATATATATTACCTATTTGTAGAGAACTTAATATTTTATCTTAATTATTTATTAACAAATTATAATTTTTATATCTGTTTGAATTTAATTAATACTTCTTTGCTTTACCTTACTCTTATTCTTTTTTTTCCGTTTACATTACACACCTCTCATGTCTCTTCACAAAGTTGGACCAGAGTCAAGCTCAACAGGGTCTTCTTTCCCCGCTAATTCTGCCAAGCCCGTTCCCTTGGCTGTGGTTTCGCTAGATAGTAGATAGGGACAGTGGGAATCTCGTTAATCCATTCATGCGCGTCACTAATTAGATGACGAGGCATTTGGCTATTTGAAACTTTTATTCAAAAAGTTTAAATTACAAACATCGTAAAAAAACAATAAAAAAGAAGCAAACTATAATGAATGTTAGTGTTTGAATTTGAATGTCAAATAAACAAGCATGCGATCATCAAATTGACATACACGCACGCATTCAAACATGTTCATTGACGTTCAAGCGCGGGTTCAATCCCTACATGCATTTCGCGGGCTCAGTGCCCTACATGCACTGCACACCACATTCATCATTCCGACTGTTGACCGATCTGTTAACGTCCATTGGCCTGGTTGTTTGCCTTTGACGTGACATCACTTCAATGAATTGTTAACATTCAACTCTTGACACCACGAACGACTTGTTTTATTCGTCCAGTGGAGACCTTGCCATTTTACATTGCTGGTTGTAGAGGCCTAAGGTCAAATTTTTTTGAGCTTTTGTTCAGATTTTGTCAAAACATTTTTTACGTTTTTTTGACAAATGATGGATTATTTTGCAAAATACTTAAAATTCAAAGAGCTATATTTTCTGCCATCAAAATGAATATTTTATATAATGAATTCACTTGTCAAATTTTTTTGAGCTTTTGTTCAGATTTTGTCAAAACATTTTTTACGTTTTTTTTTTGACAAATGATGGATTATTTGGCAAAATACTTAAAATTCAAAGATCTATATTTTCTGCCATCAAAATAAATATTTTATATAATGAATTCACTGGTCAAATTTTTTTGAGCTTTTGTTCAGATTTTGTCAAAACATTTTTTTCGTTTTTTTGACAAATGATGGATTATTTTACAAAATACTTAAAATTCCTCATCAAAACGCTCTTTAAATTTACATTCTCTAAATTCCAGCAGTGATTTTTTAATAAGGTTTTGGTTGAATTACAAATTTCTTTTACAATACAACGTCTACGGTACTCGCTTCGGCGTTGATTGTCCCGAATAAATTGAATCAGGTTTTGCAAAAATTGAAATGTATTCTTCTGCAATTTCTTTGTGATAACGATTTCCTATTTTTTCATTTACCAAGAGCTATCTTTTTTGCCATCGAAATAAATTTTTTATATAATGTATTCCCCTGTTCAGCATTTTGTGAAGCATTTGAATGAGCTTCTGATAGGTATTTTCTGTTCAGTCCAGCATATAGTAACTTAGCTTATGAATAGCAAAA